ACTGAAGCCAAAGATCGTGGATACACGATGCTGCATTATACACCCTTGCAAGAGCGAGGCGAAAGCGACAGCCCTTACTCGATTCGTGATCAGTTTAAATACGACCCGAACATGTTCGACGAAACGCGAGAGGCTGACGGAGGGAGAGCTAAAGTAGAAGCTATCCTCAAAGTCGCCCGAGAAGAGTACGGATTGCTCAGCCTGACCGATGTTGTTTTGAACCATACCGCGAACGATAGTCCTTGGTTGGCAGAGCATCCTGAATCCGGTACGCAATTCTTCTTTCGCCTTTTCTTTTTATATTACTGAATGCTTTGATATAGGTTTTAGCCCCGCGAATTCTCCTCATCTCACTCCTGCGCTCGAGCTTGACACCGCTATGATTGAATTCTCTAGTTCTCTGTCATCCAGAGGGCTTCCGTCTATTGTTCGTTCTCAAGAAGATGTCGACGCTCTGATGGGGGCCTTCCAAACCCTCGTGAAAGAGCTCAAATTGTGGCAGTACTACGTACTCGACGTCGTGCGGGAGAAGGATTCGATCAAAGCCGTGTTAACCTCGAACAAGGCCACCCCTTGGTCTGGCGTCTCCGTCGCAGGAAAACCAGTAACAGAACTCGCTGAGATCTTACGTGGATCGAGTTTACTGCTTGGTCGCGGAGAGCTTGCGTCCAGATTCGGCGTACATTCCGAAGCTAGGGCAGCAGCTGGGTTCATTCAGGCTGCCTTCGTTGAGCTATCAGATCCGGATGCTCTTGCAGACGCTTGGGTGCGCGTTGTTGATGTTCTCAACGTCCCTCTCTACGAAGAGTGGGAAGAGGACACGAGGATTGCCGTTAGCAATGTCAAGAATCGACTTACTTACGCTAGGTTGGACGCGAATGGGCCTAAATTGGGCGAGATTTCCAAAACGTGGGTCAGCTACATATCTATTCATTGGCCGACTGACTGACTGTTGTTTAGGAACCCTCTTGTAGAGAGTTACTTCACGCGATGTGGACCCTCACCCGACTCGGATCCTTTGGTTTACTCACTCGCTAACAATGGTTGGATCTGGGCTGCCGACCCTCTACAGAATTTTGCACTCCTTCCCTCCAAGGCGTATCTTAAGCGTGAGGTTATTGTCTGGGGTGACTGTGTCAAACTTCGATACGGCTCAGGACCCGAAGACAACCCTTGGCTTTGGTCTCATATGACTTCCTATGTCACATCCCTTGCGGCGAGCTTCGATGGATTCCGCATCGACAATTGCCATTCGACGCCTTTACATGTCGGTGTATCGATGCTGGATGCCGCTCGCGTTGTAAATCCAGATCTCTATGTCTGCGCAGAATTGTTCACTGGCAGCGAAGAAATGGACTTGTTATTCGTCAAGAAGCTAGGAATCAATAGTCTCGTTCGTGAAAGCTACAACGGGTGGGATGCCAAGGAGTATTCCAGGCTGTTGTATCGTCACGGAGTTGGTAAACCTGTTGGTGAGTATGTGCACTGTGGTCTCGTGACTATGACACTAACACTCGCGAGATAGGTTCCATGGACGGCGCCTGCTTGACCAGTATCGAGGAAATCCCGTCTCCAACTGGCAAAGGTCCTGTACGCAAGGCAATCATAACACCCTTGAACGGCTCAATGCCTCATGCTCTGCTATACGATCTCACACACGATAACGAATCGCCTCTTCACAAAAGATCGGCAGAGGATGCACTATCTACTGGCGCGTTGGTTACCTTTAGCTACTCGGCTATAGGCTCGGTTAAAGGGTTTGACGACCTCTATCCCAAACTTTTGAATCTCGTCGGCGAGAAGAGAAAGTACGAAGTCACCGGCTTGGAAGAGGGTAGCGGAGTGGCGCGCGTTAAACGAGTACTGAACTCGTTACACCTGGAAATGGTTTTGGGAGGATACGAAGAAGGTCATGTTCATCAAGAAAACGATGTATGTTTAGTCACCTATACATTCAAAGATTGTTTCCTAACTCTGCCTCTCTTTAGTACATTGTTCTCTCCCGCGTTCAGCCTGGTACGCAGAAAGGCTATCTACTCGTTGCCCATACAGGATTTGCAAAGGGCTCGAAAGATCGTGGTTACAGTACGTCCGACTGACCTGTCCTACGTTTCCGACTAACATTTGCCTCATCAGTCTCTCCTATCAAACTCCGTCGTACTCGAGCCAAGTTCATTATGGGCGCCAGTATTGATATCTCGTCGTACGATTTACCTGCGGATGCCAAAACCCTCAAAGGTCTGCCTAGCAAGCTCGTCGAAATGTCCCCCGTGGTGGTTCCCCAAGGTCTTGATGCTGAAAGCCCGTACTCGGAAATCGTCGTTCCTGAATACTTCCCTCCTGGTAGTATCATGGTATTCGAAACCCATTTGCAAGAGCACGACGCCGCCCTGGAGCAGTTTATGGTATCAGGAGCCCAGGAGGTATTTGGGAACCTTGGACTGGTAGAGCTCAATGTCGCACTACACCGTGCCGATGGTGAAGAACGTGACGCGACCAATGGCAAGTTTGGAGTGTATGACGTTCCTGGTCTCGGGCGGTTGACCTACTGTGGGTTGGAGGGTTGGATGCACCCTCTTCGTCATATAATGCAACACAACGACTTGGGTCATCCACTGTGCGAACATCTTCGACAAGGTACATGGGCTTTGGATTATGTCCAGGATCGACTGAGGTACGTCTTTCTCTTCGCGCACTGTAGGCTTCGTTCTAATGTTTCGTTGACTTAACAGCCAAGTAGAGGGCTTGCCCGATCTCAAGAAAGTAGCACAATGGTTCAAGGAACGCTTCGATCGGGTAAAGGCCACCGTCCCGCCGTTCTTGCGCCCCAAATTCTTCGCTCTCGTCATCTCGGAAGCATATAAAGCCGCTCGCCGTTCAGTAGTTGAACAGTCTTCCGAATTCGTCTCAACTGGCCATAATTTCACTCAGGACTTGGCTCTATGTTCTGTCCAAATGTACGGATTGGTTGGTTCGGCTTCTCTGGACCCGAGCAAACCTACGCCCTCTCTCGCTGCTGGGCTTCCACACTTTGCTTCAGGATGGGCCAGGTGCTGGGGTCGTGACGTGTTTATCTCGCTTCGAGGTTTATTCCTCACTACTGGCAACTTTGACGGCGCAAAGAAGCATATTCTTGCCTTTGCTTCTACCTTGAAGCATGGTTTGATTCCCAATTTGCTTGACTCTGTTCGCAAACCAAGGTGATTTGTTTTTTCTAAACCTTCACCGATATCCTCTCTGACGACTACAAACCTAGATATAATTCCCGTGACTCTCCGTGGTGGATGGTCCAAAACATTCAAGACTACGTCAACATGGCCCCCGATGGTCTCGCTTTGCTGTCCGAAAACGTTCTTCGTCGATTCCCCAAAGACGAAACCTGGGTAGAGTGGAACGACGAACGGGCTTACGCGTACTCTTCAACCGTTGCGGAGATCATACAAGAAATCCTTCAGCGTCACGCCGAGGGTATCCACTTTAGAGAATACAACGCAGGCCCCAATCTCGACATGCAGATGCGCGAAGAGGGCTTTAACATTGACATTGACGTCGATTGGAAGACAGGATTGATCTCTGGTGGTAACGCTTTCAACTGCGGAACTTGGATGGACAAAATGGGTGAATCGCAGAAAGCTGGGACCAAGGGTCAGCCTGGTACTCCACGAGACGGGGCGCCTGTTGAAATTACAGGTCTGCTGAAAAGCGCGCTAACTTGGTTGGATGGGCTGTCGAGTAAGGGCAAGTTCCCATTCGAAGGCGTTCGGGTTACTGGTGCGTTGTTTTGATATTCTCAGGAATGTTTTCGCCGATGTGAGATTTCTAGTCGACGGCAAAGAACGACTTGTGACATACAAGGAATGGGCCGGTCTCATCCAAGCGTCATTCGAGAAATGCTACTACGTTCCTCTCGGTAGGTTTCTTCTTTTACGCCCCAATTTTGGTGGCACTGATCTTGGATGAAATTTAGATGCTACTGAAGACTCGAGATACAACCTGGATTCGAAGTTGGTAAATCGTCGTGGCATCTACAAGGACGTTTACGGCTCTGGGGCCGGTAGAGAGTGGTCTGATTACCAGTTCCGTCCCAACTTCCCGATCGCTATGACCGTCGCTCCCGAGCTGTTCGACCCTCAACACGGTCTGCAGGCATTACAACTTGCGGACAAGGTACTCCGTTCGCCTTTGGGCATGAAGACGTTGGATCCCAGCGACATGCAGTATCGGCCAGTTTACGACAACTCCAACGACTCTACCGATGCTTCCATTGCCAAGGGCTTAAACTATCACAATGTATGTATCAATTTTCGCTGTTTGTGTTCCTGGTTGACCATAGTTGGTCTCGCAGGGTCCAGAGTGGGGATGGCCATTAGGTTACTTTTTGCGCGCTTACCTTGATTTTGATTCTCGTGTCGGTGCTGGTAAAAAGGTTAGTGAGGTTTCGTCCAACTATGTCCAAACGAAGCTGAACGCTGCTACTCCCATCGTAGGATTTGAAAGTTACGCTTCACCGTCTTCATCAAGCACTGCTCACCTCCCGTCACCACCTGCAAAATGATCCTTGGGCTGGAATTCCTGAACTAACGAACGAAAATGGTCAATACTGCAGCGACTCGTGCAACACGCAGGCGTGGAGCGCAAGCACCCTCTTGGACTTCCTCGAGACCGTCCACAAAATAGACGCGAAGGTCGCGAAATAATGAAAGCTTGCATCGGATGGACTCAAACACGCATGTCATAATAATTCGAATCATTACAAAATGTTTGTAACTGGTAAATTGCGTTCGTGAATAATCTATAGAAGTGAATTGTATATAATTAGAGAAACAGCTGCATTTCAACGCTTTTCAATAAGTATCGAGCAAGTCTTGGTGATTACAGAACCAAGTCAAACCTCGAGGAGGCTGTCATTGTTTTCCCTCAATTTAACGACACCAACTACGTTTTCGTTTCCTTTGTTCGCGTCAAAAACAGAAGGAACCGAAATGATCGTGTTAGATTCAAGGTCTAACCAGGACTCGAACCTGGGTCACGGGAAACACCTCAGTAAACATCAGAATCCCGTGTGATAACCTCTACACTATTAGACCATGTTATTAGGTAAATGTAGATGGCTAATAGCAGCCTCAGATTACGCTGTCTTTGAAGACATTATGATCAAGCTGCTCTAATTTTGAGTGTTCTACTTTAATCTGAATTTGACAACCATCCTTGATTCTGCTCCTTCGAAAGATCAGGAAACTGCTGTTGTAACTTGACGAAGAAGGTTCAAGGAAGGAAGATTCAGGAATTCACTGCAGCAGATTGGTTCCATGCCGTGCCAAGATTGTATCCAGACTTTGCTCGTAACTATGTCCCTAATTTATTTGCACTAGAATTGTAGCCGGATGCCAAAAAAGGATTGGTTAGCATGAATTTGGTGAAGCCATTTGGCGGCGCTTGGACTGAGAGACCTGATACTTGCATAAGCGAAGCAAAAGTCCCTTGTCTATTTCATACTATCGATGACCCGGAAGTTAAAAAAAAATGTCAATAAAGAAAAACTTTTGCAGTTCTCAATGGATGGCTCCCGGATTTTGGGAGACTATATTTAAGATGATAAAGAGTCTTTTCATTGACTTTGGTGATTTTTAAGAGACCTCTGGAAGGATACCAGAGGGAGCCGACAAGACCCTTGAAATTGGCGGAGAAGTTAAAAGAGCGCTTAACGGCAATTGGCAGTGTCCGAAACTGCACTTTTTTGGCATCTTTGCTCGCGAAACAACAACCACACGTCGGGCAGCTTAACGGGCTGGCAATACTAATTATATACATGTACCAAAGGTACTGTTAAAATCTTATACTTGCCCGTGAAGTATTTGTGGCTCTAAAAATCAAGAACCTCATGTGAACCTGAAAAAAGTGTGATTTCGCACAAGGTCAAAAATCCTGAATTTTTTCCTCACAATATTACTTCAATATAAATAGACAGATGCCTTTGAAGCATGTACAAGACATTATATTAAAGGTTTTAAGCAGAAAGAGTGCGATGTGCAAGCACCGCAAGTGATTTACTGTGATTTTTTAACTTCTGGGTCCTTTTTAACTTCCGGGTCATCGATAGTAGTTTTATTGGTGAAGCCGCCGCAGCTCGAGTGCAAGATGGTTTCGGCACTATCAGTCTCGTCTCAATTGTTCCTCGTAGATATCAGAGCTTGTTCTTCTGAACCGTAGAAAGAAAGATTGAGGAGCTCGGCTTCAACGTTTTTGAAAGAGCCTGAGGACGACGGAGTCTGAGAACGAGGGAGATCAAGTACAAGACCTCATGATGAAAAGGAGGCCGGAGATCTCATCTTGGATGCTTGTACGGTGTTTTGTTCGGTTGAACCTGGCGCTTCAACGCTTCAGCTTCCGCTCTTGTTGCATTCATTCACAGCCCTAGTAACAACTTGCTTGGCTCGTAGAGTTGGCGGCTGAGGGTGGTAGATTCTTCGCTAAAACATTTTGGCATTCTTACGAATTCTTTTCTAACTCGAAATTGGTGGTGAATCTATTTACGACGCTCTTTTTCATGAATCCTTGACATACTTTTCCGCCGTTTTGGAATAAACAGCTATTAATTTCTGACTCGATGTCGGAAATTGGATACATAATTGGACCCAAGACTCAGCGAAGACTCTGCACTACTAGTAATACAAGAGTACATAATAGCGGTTTACTGAACAAGCTCCGGTACTGTGTTATAGCAAGCTTGTTTCTTCCTTGATTTTTCAGTACGTCAGGCCTAACGTCGTGGAATGGAATAAGCCGTCTTCCTACTCCACAAGGAGCTATCGATATGGTGAAAGCACGCATCATTCATACAGCTACATAGTACATATAGTATTAGTTGTTTCTATGACCCTGTAAACGATGTGGATGTATATCAGGACCGCTAAGTCTGAAATCAAATTACTCAAATCAGCTTGACTCCGAGAGTCAATACTCTCCATCGGACTTTGTAGTATTCAGCCCGGCGTGCGCATGCAAGAACATCGACGGGAAAAATTGGGATAGACTCAGGACTGGGTCCTGCTTTCATAAATAATGCAGTTCTTCATATATAGTTTAGGATAAAGGGAAGAGGGTACCCAATTTCGTATTCTAAGCGCAATCCATAAAAGTGGCTTTGACCTACTAAAAAAGGATGTTATTTGATCGGTGACCCTTGCAGTTATATAATATAAGTGTAATATAAGTGGTTAGTCGACAATTCACGGGATTTCAATTCCGCCTATTGATTTCACAGGACGCGTTGTACGTACATGGAACATGACTAGAAAACTTTCTGGAGACGATGAACAGACAGGTCTTTCATTTTGTCACATTGGAAGTGGCACGCACAGGTTGTTTCGAGTTGATCATTTGTTTGAGTGCAAATGAATACTTAATGCATAGCATCTTTGCCAGTCTTGATACATCCGCATTTAACAGACAACGAGCTCCCAGCTTGACGCGGTTACATGCCCTCCTGTGAACATCAACATACTTACAGGTGAAATGGAAAACCGTTCGGATGGACCGCATTCACCACATCAAGGGAGCAATATGTTAACGCTAAATCACGGTCGATTATCTGAGCGCTGTGAGTCTCTGCTCGAGTACAAGCCGTGACCGGGTTCATACAGCTGTTAAGCTTCGGTGGTAAGTACACAGTGCCATATACACACTCTGGTATGGGTATTATACGTATGGTTGTGAGCAGCCTAAAAAAAAGAGTAGAGATAGGCGCAGGCGCTTGCTGGGCGCCCAGCCGTCAATGGAGAAATGGAGAGTCCATTGGGTTTTAATTTTACAACCTCGTGCTGAGCGACGTGATCTATGAAGTCGTGGTCAAACCGGGTTTGTAACTCAAGCTTACTATGATTGCAGACTGATGATGGTTACGGGTGGAAGGAGGCCTAAAACCTGTGCCAATTGTGAAGGTAAGTACAGTACATTGCTAGCGAGTCGGGTTTATCGTTTTGGATTCAAAAAAAAAAAGCAGATAAATCAAAAGAAATTCTCTGAAGTAACCGGCATTACTGAACTATTACTTGTATATGCAGCATGAGAAGAGATCACCTTCTCTAGATCAAACTGACCGTCTCCAATTCGTATAATCAGGGCCGTCCTGCGTTCTGAAATCCGAGCAGTGGATTCCAACGTGTTTCACGCAGTCTGCATTCAAAAGCGAGCCGTAAACCAAAAAAAAAAAAAAAGAGATAATAGGTTCTCGAGCTCTCCTTATTAATCCAAGTACGCAAAGGCGCGCGGGACGAAGAACCGCTGTCAAACGCATGTGAAGTCGCGACGCTCAATAGTCCTCAAGATCCTACCGGAAATCTGTCAGTAGGAGCCTTATTCTGGTAATGCTCAGTGGTGCTTCAGACTCCCTGGATTTTTTTTCGTTAATAATGTCAACGTTACTTAATTCCTAGCTAGGCCCATCGTCACCCAACAAAGTAACCAATCTCTCTCTCGACATGTTTATTCATTAACGCAAGAAACACTCCGGATAGTGACTATTGCTTTATTTTCGACCCTTTTGCGTCATGGCATCCCTATAAAACCCAAACTTCAACTCCTGGATTCACTGAAGCTGAAGGTCTTCACTACATTCTGAAGGCATTCTTCCCACTTGCCATCTTGACCTTGGAACCAAAACACCCAATGGAGTCAACCCTAATCCCCAGGTAAGCATACATTTTTTCCCTCACATTGCTGAAACTGAGTAGATTGGAATGGCAGACCAAAAGAGTTCCGCGATTATCATAATACCCAAAGCTTGATCCACGAGACGTGAGTAGTTGTAGTTGTCTCGATGTGAGCAACATTTATAGATTGACCGAGAGTAGCTGTAAAGATCAACCTAAACCTATGACACCGGAAGAGTGGGGAAGTTTCGTGCAGTCTTACGCTGGACGACCGGAAGACTTTGGGGCTTGGGCTTGGAGGACTCTAAAGATACCCGAAGAAATGCTCTACATCGCTCCTTACGAGGCTCCACCCCCCGAAGCCAATGGGGATTTTTTTTGCAATTATCACGGCTGTTTCAACGTGTATAAGACCAAGCAGGCTAGGGAAAGTGAGTCAAAATTCTCTTTCCCTCAATATTCTCTGACCGACTGGATTGCATAGATCATTTCAATGTAGTACACCTGGGATTTCGTGTGCCCTGTCCCGATTGTAATGCGGTCCTTATGAATCGGAATTCCCTTCCGCGTCACAGACGGGACCACTGTCTCAAGCGAAAACCCGCTTAATGATTTGTCTGGAGACACCCTCTCCGAGGAGTCAGGATTTCGCTTTATCATGTTAGCCATTGATCGACGGTTTTGCTACCCCGTAAAGTCTCCTTATGCTTGTATATCTTCCGTCCAAATCCAATCCCATGCTATTGAAGGAACAGAAGCGTTCGTCAGCCGCTATCCAACATATACGTATCGTTCTCTTTCGCTTTGCCTGTGTTAATTTCGTATGTTTCGCACTATCTGCTTGCTATAGATATGTAGCCTACAATTTTATTAGATAATAACCCGTCGAATTCGCATGACTGAGTTATTCTAGATCCCGAAATCAAAATCGATGATTTAAAGCAGCCCTGTCGACCCTGCTGAGACAAGGCTGCATGTTCTTATCGTGCTGTGTCGAGAGTTGGAGCGCTGGCTTGAGGCATGCATCGCATATCCAAGTTCATTTAGGTACTTCCTGATCCCATCCTTCTTTCCTTATGATTCACCTCGCAGTACGTAAGTTTCAACCCAACAATTTAAAAGTAATTTACTCAGCTTCTCCGAATATTCTCTCTCTCTTTCTTTTAGCCTCACCCGCCGTCTCCCATTTTCAAAGTGATATTGTTGCGTCAGTCCAACCACGATGTAGATTCAAAGTCCGAGTTAGCAAAGCGGAGAGACGATGCTGACATTTACGGAGCGGGAGGAGAGAGCCAGGCTACTGAGGGCGGAAATGCGTCGTTGTCGCAGTATGATATAGGTTGTTAAGCACAGTGGTTGCATTATCCCAATATAGAGCTACACTCATCGTTAGAAATTTTAATTCATTTGGAAACAGGCGTACCGCTAGCAGCTAC